GTTTTTACATTGTGTTAAAGAAACCATTACCAAGATGATGTGTGGCTTTGTTTTTGATACTTGAAAGAAGTTGTGAACAAATTCTAAAACATGTAGGAAAAAACATAAGGACTATTCAAGAGCTAACAAAACTGCTGTGTGATGTGAGAATCAAGGAGCTCAGGGGTTTTTGTTTTTATTTAAGCAGAAGATGGATAAGAGACAGCTTGATCACAGTTTCAAGGCAGGACGTTTCTGCTAATAGGAAGTTATTTAATTTAGTATAGAAAAGCATAATGAGATCCAAAGGCTTGAAACTGAAGCTAAATGTATTGATTCTACATATAGCATGACATTCTTAACAGTGAGGATAACTGAACATTGCACAATATACTTCAGAAATCATGGATTCTCTGCTGTTTGAAATGTTTAAATGAAGATAAAATATCTCGTGGAAAGAGGAAAAAAAAACTCAGTTTGAAGACCATTTGAAGTACAAAACCTGGGACTGTGGCATTTATTTGTACCAGAATATGCACTCTCCTTAGTAGACAGAAAATTAATGTATGTGAGACTTACAGAAATTCCATGAAGGAACTGTAAGACTATGTATTCCAGGAACTGAAAGTAGTTGTGTTCTGAACTGCAAATCTAGGTGATGGAGATGATGTTTTCATAATTGTTATCTTTTGACAAAATCCATCCTGTGACACAGATACAATTGACTAACCTTCTGGTTGTTTTAGTTGGTTAGTGGTGTGGTTGAATCCTTCGACCATTCTATTACTTAATTATTTAGTTAAATATGTTGGTGCTTTTTAAACTGATAAATCACTCAACTCAGTGGAATAGGTCTTCTGCAAGAGAAAGCTGTCCTATATTCAAGTTACACGCTAGATCAATTTTACAGTTGGTTTATATAATGGAGTAACACCAGCCCACAAGCATCTGCTCTTAGGGTGCTGCATATTCCTACTCAAACATGTACCAGTCAGTGTAGATCAGATGACAGGACTCCTGCAAGCAGCAGTGCTACTTCTGCAGCACCCCACAATTCCCAAATGTTTTAAAGGAGAGGCTATAAATGGGGGTTGCCCATTTCTGTGTGTCTGTTAATAAAACGGTGGACATGAGACTGTGGTTTCTGCTTAATAATTATAATCCCTTACTTCAGTGTTCATTTCTGTACTTAGATTGTTTTTAGTCATGGAAGAAGTTAGTTAAGTAGTCGAAAAAAATTAGAGTTGCTTATTTACATAGCTTGGTGTCCTTTTTTTCTATGGAAGAGTTTTGTTTTTGAAAAAGGTGCCATATGTAATTTAACAGTTTTTACCTGACAGGGGATATTTGTGAGCTGCTCGGCATGCCTTGGCAGGAGGTCCTTTATGATACCATGTCTTCAGTTCCTCTGCCTTGCAAGGAGGAATGAATCAGACTGCAGTCCTTGTTATTGCAAAAAGATTTAATCTGAAAACACTTGGATCTGACACTACTAAAGAATCACCCATCTTAATGAAGAAAAATGTCTTACCTCTAGATGTTCTGGTCCTAAGAAGTTAAATACCTGCTGCAGGTAACAGTGGTCTCAACTCCAGGAGTCAGTTCTAAAGTATTTGTACTTTTGGCTCTCAGCCAGCACACAAGACTTTCAAGTCTTTGGATTCCATTAGTACTAACCTCTGAGAAGAATGAGAGACCTCAGATCTGTATGTATCATATATTAAAAATGAGTCGTGGAATAAGAAAGTTGTGGGATGCTATGCAAAGTTTGGTCATAGATCATGCTTATGAGAAGCTTTGCCCATTGATATCTCTCCTATGTATGTAATTATTCACTGGCAACTTTGGTTTCCAGTAAGACATATCCACATATGCATGTGCTCTGACATCAGGCATTCAAGATACAGTGAGTATGGATATGACATGAGAATATCACATAAATACTAAGTGGTCTTTATACAAGTGACCAAAAGGATTTGGAGAGAAAATCTGAATCAGGATGTAATATTGGTAAATGGAAATTTTCTTCAACTTCTGATGGAATGGCCCAAGACATGAGAGTGTAAATTCTTTGTTAATAATGTATTATGCTGTCATGAAAGACTGCATCTTGGAAGCTGAATTCAAGTACTTAAAATTAGGCATCCCAACAACGGATTTTTTTTTTTCCCAAAAAATAATGATAAGCTTTGGAATAACAGGGTGTTGAAGTACTCTATGAAAAACTGTTGCAAACAAGTGAATACAGCGCAAAATATCCTATTTCACACATACAGATCTTAAAACCAGGTTTAAATGTTGTTTTCAGAAAGAACATTTCTCTGTTAGAATGTTATTCCTGTCACACTTCCACCGCTTGATGCACATAATTCTGATTCTACTTGTTTCACTCTGGATCCCAACAGACATTCAGACTTAGTTTTCATCTTTTTCCCTTTTATGTATAAATTAGATAATCTGGCATGTCTGTGAAGGCCCCCGGGAGATCCAACATTCTGATAAGAGAGAGAAGATAAGCTTTTATCCTTGAAACCCATGATGTCTACTTTGAGGTATTCAGATGTATCTATATTAGTCCTCCCTTTTAATATCTTCAGAGATATTCCACTCTCCCTGATAGCAGAGTCATTATTTAATAAAAAGGCAAAAGTAAAAGAATAAATTCAGTCCAAAGCCTGTACTATAGCTACTTCTGCTGTATGTCCCGGTAGAGTACACTGGTATGAAAAGATTTGATGAGTTAGGATTGTGCTCCTCCATGCTTGGCAGCAAAGCACAGAATTTGCAGAAGATAGGCTAAAGTGCCGAGAACATGTGCCAAGTCATCATATCTCTTCAGCTTCTTCTGCTGGAAGGACCTCACTGCAGCTCCCAGCATATTTTAAAACCACCATCAGTCAGTGACAATGCTGCTATTTAAGCATCAGTCCTTACTTCAGGGCAATTGGCCAGACTGAAGCAGACGGTACAATTTCTCTCTTATTTTAGTAATTTGTGAAGTATTTCAGGGTGAACACTTATGCAAATGGATGTGAATTATTGGAGAGTGCTTTGTTTGCTCGGGATATGCCGAATGAAATCATCTACTTTGTTAGGATGTTTCCTAGAAAACTGACTTAGCATGATACTGTTGCTGAAGGGTGACAGCCGCTTAATCAGGGCAATACTAGTGTAATTTTCATTAAGGACAATCATTAGCTAGTGCCATGTATTTATACTGAATATAAAGCTCAAGTTAAAGGGAAAACACTTATCTGTTAAAACTTCCACTCAGTCTGAAATCCCCAGTGGGTTGGTTGGTTCGTTGGTTGGTTTTGGTGCTAATCTTGCTTCCTCTCACCTTACAACAAGTAGTGGGGAACAATATAAAAAAAAAGTGCCACAGAGCAGTCTTTCAAAATGGACCAAAGGATTACCATCAACCCTTAAAATGTGTCCTAGACTACCATATATCTTCATTGTCCATTATAAATAGGTTGTTTAAATGATGCACCATTTTTATTATTTTATTGGTTATGATTGTATTCAGGACTACAGTTTGGGAACAAGTGGCAAATAGAGTTACTTAGTTTTTTTCTCTACCTTGCTGTCCTATAATGTAGTTATGATGTTCTATACACAACTTTTCATCTGTAGATACCAGTACACTGAGATCACTGTCAAAGGAGATATTGTATTCTTTTGTAAAACCCTGTCTCCAGCTTATAAATAGGGAAATGAAGGCACAAGGAAGAAAAGATACTTTTTTTCCCCCTAAGGTTATCCAGTAGACCAGTTGGCAAAGTCAGGACTAGAGCTCGGGTCTCTCAAGGTCAGTGGTCTCCATTAAACTGCTTGTATAACAATTGGAAAAGTCATTACTTAATACTTCAAAGTTTTAACCCTGAAATTTGGTAATCTATGGACTTTACTTCCCTAAGGCCAATTTTAGAATAGTTTACTGCAGGTCTCTTCACCTGTGAAAGGGGAACTCACGATTCTGACATTTGCCTGCACTATAGGTGGACAGTTATCATTTTTGTTCAGGATTTTACAATATGCTAATATGATCATATATAACAAGGAGATAGGGCTTTATGTTGTAAAATCTTGTTTCTGATCATAATCTTGATGTTTTGAATACATGTGGAGGTGTTTCACCTGTTTCATACAACATGGTTGTTAATTATATATTTCATATTCCTCCCTTCTTTTGTTTTACTTTTTATCTTCAGAAATTTTCTGGAACAGCAATTTCTTGTTAAAGTCTCTGACTCAGATGGGAAAGGCCATCAGCTAAGTTAGGGAGATGGCAATTCAGCATGCAGAGAAAAAGACCCAAAGAGAACAGATAGAAAGTTACATTGGTGATATATCTGGACAGCAAGATATTGCTGCAAAGCAGCGTGTCGATGTTAATTCCAAGTGAACCAGCTGGGTTGACAGAAGCAATGTAACTGTGGTTTCACTCAGACTGGGGATTGGACTAGGGAATGTAGTTCATAGCTAGGCTTGGGTAACTCTGCACGGCACTGCATTGTACTAATGTTGATGAGACAGAGCGCAATAGTTACATGTGAGCTTTTATGTAAGTGTGAAATGACTCACTCTAAAAAGCATTTTCTCAGATTTAAAAAAGTAAGCCTGCTACAGAACTGTGTTACTCACCTTAGTCCTAAATTATTAATTTTATAATGTCTTGATAGGTACAAAAATCTGATACATCCATGTGTTATATGAACCAATAATGTGTAAAAAGAAAATTAAGATGCATCC